ACCGGCCCTGAAGTCGGGAGGACCTGAGTTCAAATCCAGCCTCAGATCGAACACTTGACACGTACTAGCTGTGTGACCTTGGGCAAGTCACTTAACCCAGGATGACCTCACTAAAAAAAAAACAAAACAAAAAAAACAATGTGACTAATGTGAAAATGTTTAATAGGAATGCATATGTAGAGCCTATAACAGATTGAATGCTGTCTTGGGGAGGAAGGTGGAGAAAATTTAAAACTCAAAAGCTTATAGAAGTGAATGTTGAAAACTAAAAAGAAATTAATAAAAATAAAAGAAATTAATAAAAAAAAGAAAAGAAAACAAAAACATTTCCTTCCCACTTCTCCATCCCTCATGTGGGCTAAGGATTCTCACAAAGAACACTGTGTCTTGAGTCATGGTCCTTTTTTGTCTCCTGTGATTTCTGATGGGTTTCAGATCTATGCTCTCAGGAAAGTTGAAGGGTAAAAGTAATCTTTTAAAAAGAGGAACCTCAAACTGAATAATGCAGAAAACTCTAATTGGACAAAAATCAAACTGGCCAGACCAAGCAATACAAGGAGTTGGAAAAGCCAGAGGTAAAATCAATAATAGCTGACATTTATATAACACTTTAAGGTATATCGAATGCTTTGTATACATTAACTCATTCAATCCTCAAAATAATCTTGTGAGGCAAGCATTATAGTTTTTAATATTTCCATTTTACAGCTGAGAAAACTGAAGTTAAGTAATTTGCTCAAAGTCAAATAACTAGTATGTGCAAGAGATAAGATTTGAACTCCGGTCTCTCTCCTCCTTCCAAGTCCAATATCCTTCCACCAACCACTGGCTCTTCTTAGGGTAGAAAGACTGTTATGCAATAATGGTGGCTCTTAATCATAACACTTCCAAACATATTCATCTCTCCTTCCACCACTAAAAATTCAATGGAAAAAAGTTAATTTAGAGTCATAGGATCTGAGTTCAAATCCCAGTTCTGCTGCTCTCTATCTGTGTAACCTTGAGCAGATGACCTCATATCTCTGGGCCTCATTTTTCTCATCTGTAAAATGAGGGGGTTGAGCTAGATGACTTCTCAGGTCCCTTCCAGCTCTAGATACATGATCCTTTACTCTGTGGGATGATCCATGATCCTGTCTATGGGAAATGGAACAATTCCTTATCAGACTCAACAATGGTCCAAACTATGCCTCTTCCTGGGCACTAAAAAGTAGATACCTGACACACTGTAATGGAGAAATAAATTTATTTGCCACTAAATGATTATCACATCTGTTCTGCTATTTGTGTGCTTTTAGCAATCAAATATTCCATTCAGGCATTTTACTCCATGATAGGCCAGAACACCAGGAGCTCATTCAGTTGATTGGCTAAGGTTGTCCTAATAAGGATTTTTCAGAAGCATGACATCAATTGCCCATCTGACAGAACCAACAAAGTGCTGCCAGTGCCTCTAGGTAAATTTTAAGAACTCCAGGAGGTCCTGGTGAAGCCATTCGGCCAAGGAACACCAGTCTATTCAACTTGAGACCTAATAGATCAGAAATTGACCATATGCTTCCAGAAACAGGCAGACTGTAGTCCAGGGGACCCCTGTGCAGAAACTGCACATTAAGACAGCCTGGGAGAACATTACCCCAGATGCCAAAGCACCCATCTAATGCCACATTATGAATGGCATCCTTTGTATTGCTACAGCTTTTCAAACCCTTAACAAATGTTTATTCCAAGGCTAGTTTGCTCATCCAATGTCAGAAATGTAAACACAGGTTAAAAGAGATAGGAAGGTGGGGATGATCTGCTGTACAGAAAGTATGCTGCTGCCTCTAAAGACAGAAAAGAAAGGGAAGAGTACCCAACTTGTACTCTCCCTCTCTCTCCTCTGCCAACCTGCACCAGGCCAAAGTGGGAGTCACTCCCCCCTCCCCCATCTGATTTCTGAATTTCTGACACCTCTGTCTCAGAGTGGCAGAAAGAGATGGTGTGAAGAGATTTAGTTTTTAGTCCTGGCTCATCCATTAACTTTCAGTGTGATCCTGAGCCTCAGTTAAGTCCCTGGGGGAGGGGTGGAGCCAAGATAGGGAAGAAAAAGCAGGAACTGGACTGAGCTCTCCCCAAAACCCTTCCAAACAACTTTAAATAATTCCTCAAAACAAATTTTGAAGTGGCAGAACCCACAAAGGGACAGGCTGAAACAATTTTCCAGCCCAAAACAATTTAGAAGGTTGGCAGGAAAAGTCTACAGCACCAGGGTGATAGTGGAGTGGAGCAGTCCAGCCCAGGCCATGCCTCAGCAAACCAGCAGTAAGTTTTGGGGGCTATCATGGTGGTAGTGGCGGTTGCCAGACCTCTCAGCCCACAGACAATAAGGGGATCAGACAACTGGTCAGAAAGAGATTACAGAGATTCCTTTGCTGGCACCAGGGATTCCTATCCTGTTGAACTCTGTTGCATTTCCCACACTTGGATCTGGGTCACAATCCTAAGTCTCAATCCCAGAGCAAAAAAGAGTGCTCATGGTCGCTCACAGATCAGAGAACAGGACAAGACAGAAGTAAACACACCTCCTTATATCATAACACTTTGGAAGAACTGAAAATTTACAGGTCCCCAGAATTATCTCTGAAAACAGCTGCACAAACATGAAGCTTGGGACAGTATCCCCTCCACTCTGGAAGCAGAGCCCTATGTTAGCATAGGTAAAAATCTTGATTTTTTAGGAGGACCTGAGTTCACATCTGGCCTCAGACACGTAACACTTACTAGCTGTGTGACCCTGGGCAAGTCACTTAACCCCATTGTCTAGCAAAAAAAAAAAAAAAAAAAAAAAAGACACATGAAAGCTTTTACAGTGGAGAGGAATGAGGGGGGAGGTGAGGGGAGCACTTGGACCTTACTCTCACTGTAACTGCCTCAAAGAGGGAATAACATACACACTCAGTTGGGTATAGAAATCTATCTTACTATACATGAAAAGTAGGAGAGGAAAGGGATAAGAGAAGAGGGGGAAGGCTGATAGAAGAGAAGACAGAAACAAGACACTTTTGAGAATGGACAGGGTGAAAGGAGAGAAGGGAGTAGGACAAATGGAGAAAATGGGATGGAGCTAAATACAGAGTAATCATAACTGTGAAAAAAAACTGCATAGCAAGTTTCTCTGATAAAGATCCCATTTCCCTCATACATATATATATATGTATGAATCAAATTTACAGAAATAAGAGCCATTCCTCAATTGAAAAATGGTCAAAGGATGTGAACAGACAGTTTTCAGATAAAGTAATAAAAGCTATCTATAGAAATATGAAAAAATGCTCTAAATTACTACCGGTTAGAGAAATGCAAATGAAAACAACTCTATCACAATTGGCTAATATGACAGAAAAGGAAAATGACAAATCTTGGAGGGGATGTGGGAAAACTGAGACATGAATACACTATTGGTGAAGTGGTATACTGATTCAACCACTTTGTAGAGCAATTTGAAACTATGCCCAACAGGTATAAAACCATGTATACCCTTTGACCAAACAATACCACTACTATCCCAAAGAGATGAAAAAAAAAAACAAAAAGGAAAAGGACCTACATGTTAAAAAAATATTTATAGCAGTTCTTTTAATGGTGGCAAAGAAATGGAAATTGAGGGGATATCCATCAATTGGGGAATGACTGAACAAGTTGTATATGATTGTGATGGAATACTAGTGCACTATAATAAATGACGAGCAAGATGCTTTCAGAAAAACCTGAAAAGACTTGCATGAACTGATGAAAAGTGAAATAAACAGAACCAGGTGAACAGTGTATACAGTAACAGCAATACTGTATGATGATCAACTGTGAATGACTTAGCTATTCTCAATAACACAATGATCTAAGGCAATTCTGAAGGACTTAGAACTGACGGAGTATGAATGCAGATGGAAGCATATTTTTTATTTAATTTTCTTGGTTTTTTTTTTGTCTGTATTTTCTTTCACAACATAACTAACATGGAAATTGTTCTGCATGACTGCACATGTATAACCTATATCAAATTGCTTGTCTTCTCAATGGGGTGGAGAGAGGAGGAAAGAGAAGGAGGAAGAGAATTCGCAACTCTAAAATTTAAAAAAATGAATGCTATAAATTGTTTTTATATGTAATTGGGGGAAAATATTAAATTTTTAAAAAAGACCCTCACTAGACTTTAACTTCCTCATCTATAATAAGAGTGCTAGAAGGTCTAACAAGGGAATCTTTAAATCTGAAGCAAGTCTGTTTTTGCCCTTTGGCTCAGAGAATGGAAACTTACCAAAGCTGTAACTTCCAGTAAGCATCTGACTGGCTAGCAATAGGGAGGGAAGAGGAAAGAGTGAAAGAAAATCAACAGAGAAAAGCAGTCAATCTATCACTTGCTCCCCCTCAATCCTTAAGTGCCTCGAGGTGGTCACTGCACAGGGAGAGAGTGAGGGGCAGGGCAGAGACCATCTGAGGTCAAATGTCAGGGCTGCCTTTTAATACCTATATGTGATCCTAAGTGAGACACTTACCCACATTGGGTCTTTGTTTCCTCACCCACAAAATGAGGAGAATGGCCTGGATGACATCTCTGATACTCACTCTCTACAGGAGTGGGGCCTCTTCTGGGCTGAGACCTCCCCACCCTACCCCTAGCCATCCTAGAAACAATGTAGAGATATCCAGAAAGAAGTAAACTATGCCCTAGCTCGCTCTCATGGAGCCTGGTCTTTCCATTCAGAAATGGAGTCCTGGTTGTATTCAACTTTTACCCCTCCTACTGCAGTGTTGTTCTTTCCCTTTGGTCTTTGGTGGAAGAAGAAAATAGTGGAATCTTCCTCCTTCAAGAAGGCCAGCCATAACTGACTCATTGGTCTTTTAAGTTACACTCAGTTCCAACTCTCCTCTACCCAGTCTTGGGCAGTGATGAGATCAGAATGGGGAAAATGAAGAAGGAAGGGCAAAGAGGGGAGAGAAAAACAATGAACCCCAGTTACCTATGGGCGTTGGCTGGGTCTGGAACAAAGTCTGGCCAGCTGGAGGTATACATCCTATTGTAGAGGAGAAAGGGCTGCTCCCAAAGGCATCAAAGTTGGCAAAGCCTCCATGGGAAGTACCCTGGCCTGTAAGTAGAGTGAACAGGGAGGTTACACACCAGCAAGACTAGAGCTAGAAAGCAACGCTTAAAGGATTTCTGCTTTACTACATAGCTCTCTTCTCTAGGGTTTGTTTTCCTTGACTGCAAAATCAGGCAGCTGAAATCAATGATCTCCAAGACCCACAATCCCAAGAGTGGACACACCTAGGCATATGAAGATTTCAGTCAAGAAACGTCTAGAAACTAGATTACTATGAAATGAAATAAAATTGTTTCTGGTAGACTAAGATTTAGAATACAGAATTAATAATTTTTTTCTTCAATAAAGGGAAACTTCTTCCTCCCATTACCTTTCTGGACAAGTCTAACTATTAAGAAGTTTTCCCTTTTGTGGTACATACACTTACCTTCCTGAAACTTCCACTCCTGCTCCCAGTTCTGCATTCTGGGTGAGGCTAAGCAGAACAAATCTAATAATAATTGGATATTTTTATTTTTTAATATGAATATGTTGATTGTTTTTCTAATGTTGAACCACTCACATCCCTGTAGAATGATGAATGATTTCTTTGATGAATTTGTCATCTGATAGGATTTTATTTAAAAAATTTTGGATCAATATTCATTAAAATTTACTACAATGTAGTTCTATTGTGTTATATTTTCCTGGTTTGGGTATTAGTTTAAGTATTAGGATGGTATTTGTCTCCTCTGGTGGGGTGTTTTCTTTCCCAATTTTTGAGAATAATTTGTGTAGTAGTAGAATTCTCCTGTGAATTCAACAGGATCAAGTGTTTTTCCTTTACAGCTACTTCTATTTCCTTTATTGAGATTAAGATTTCTATTTGGTGTTCTGTTAAGATATTTTATATTTTTGAAGGAATTCCTCTACTTCTTTTGTATTTAGTTTTGTTAGAATATAACTAACTGCACATAGTAGGTTCTAATCATATTTTTTATTTCTTCTGGTTTTGTTGTGATTTCACTTTGCTTGCTGTGTTGTTGATTTGATTTTCTTTTTTCTTCTTTTTAATCAGACTGGCTAAACATTTGTCAATTTCAGTAGTTTTTTCAAACAACAAACTGTTTAGTTTTCCTAGTTTGTTGTTTCATCAATATCATTTTCTTTCACATAATTGTTGTTCCTATGATTTGTTATTTGACCCACTCATTATTTAGGATTTCGCTGTTAAGTTTTCAACTGTGTCTGTGTCCTTTGTTTGTGCTCTCTGAACTGCTTACTATTTTTATTGTTATGTCCTGCAAAGGATGTGTTTACTATTTCTTTCTTTTTGACATTCATTTGCAATTTCTCTGTGCACATTCTTTAATACACAAGTAATTTCTCTACAAACTCCATGTGGTGTTAAGAAATACTTATATTCTAAAATGAGGGGATGCTCATCATTTGGGGAATGGCTGAACCAAGTTGTGGGATGTGATTATGATGGAATACTATTGTACTATTAGAAATAATGAGCAGGATGTTCTCAGAAAAATCTGGAAAGTAACAGCAATATTGTAAGATGATCAGCTGTGAATGACTTAGCTATTCTCAGCAATACAACAATCCAAGACAACTCTGAAGGACTTATGATGAAAAATGCTATTTATCCAGAGAAAGAACTGATTGTATCTGAATACAAATTGAAGCATACTTCTTTTATTTTACTTTATTTTTCTTGGTTTTTTTTATCTATGTTTTCTTTCACAACATGACTATTATAGATATGTTTTTCATGACTATACATGTATAACTTATATTGAATTGTCGTCTCAATGGGTGGGTAGGGAGGGAGGAAGGAAGAGAATTTGGAACTCAAAGTTTTAAAAACAAATGTCAAAAATTGTTTTTACATGTAACTGGGCAAAAATAAAATACAAAAGAAATTGAAAAAAAAAAAAAAGAAATACTTGTATTCTTAAGCAGTCTCATTTGGAGGTGCCATAAGCCTTTTAGCTCTAGATTCTCCAACAATCTGTTCAATTCTGTATTTTACTTTTTGTTTATCTTTCTGTTAGATTTGTCCAAAACTGAGAAAGGAACAATTGAACTCTCTTACCGTTACTGTATTACTCTCTATATCTTCTTGTAGTTCAGTTAACTTTTTTCTATTTTGAATTTTTATGGTAAGGCACTTGGAGCATAAAAGTTTAATAATGATACTGGTTTGTTATTTCTGGTTACTTTCATCATACTGCAGTTTCTTTGCTCACCATTTTTTACGTTAACAATAATAACTGACATTTATATTGCACTTTAAGTTTTGCAAAGCACTTTACATAAATTATTTCATAAGAACCTCACACAATTCTGTGAGATAGGAACTGTTTTACAGACAAGGAAACCAAAGCTCAGAGAGGTTAAGTAATTTGCCCATAGTCACCCAAGGAGTTAAGTGTCAACAAGATGGGATTTGAACACTTTCTGTGTTTCTGTAGTCTTTCTGCTATTATCACTACTTTCTTTCATAAGGACCTTTCAGATCCTTAAAGACTGCTATTATTTCCCCCTGAGTCATCTCTTTTCTCTGCTAACCATCCCCAATATAGTGCTATAATCAAGTTCCTCTCTACATATCCTTCCTAAAGTGTGGTGCCACAAACTGAACACAATGCTCCAGACTATGGTCTGACTATTAGAACACAACAAACTATAAGTCAATCAACAAACTTTTACTAAATGAGTTCTTAAACTTGAGGTGTGAGAATTAAAAAAAAAACATTTTATTAACTGCATTTTAGTAAAACTGATTTCCTTTTAATTCTATTTTATTTTACAAATTTAAAAACATTATTCCTAGAAGGGGTCCACAGGCTTTAGACTGCATAAGGTGTCTAGCCACAAAGCAGGTCAAGAATCGTTGCCCTCGGGGCAGCTAGGTGGCGCTGTGGATAAAGCACTTGCCCTAGAGTCAGGAGGACCCGAGTTCAAATGTGGCCTCAGACACAACACTTACTAGCTGTGTGACCCGGGGCAAGTCACTTAACCCATTGCCTAGCAAAAAAAGAATCACTGCCCTATACTTCTCTCAAGGTGCTTATACTCTAGTGGGGGAACACAATGTTTCCATAAACACAGGCTATAAATACAACAAATAGTGAAGGAGGAGTGGATTCAACAGCTATGAAAGTCAGGAAAAACCTCTTATAGAAGGTAGTACCTGAGCTAAGTCTTGAAGGGAATTAGGGATTCAAAGAGATAGAAGTGAGAAGTGAGAGCATTCCAGATATGAGGGACAGAAAACCTTTGTGAAGGTATGCAGTGGGAAATGGAATCTCCTGTACAGGGAATACCAAGTAAGCTAGTTTGACTGGAGCATAGAGAACATGTGGGGGAGTAAAGTATAATAAGCCTAGAAAGACAGGAATTTAATTGTCAAACAGAGTTTGTAGTTTATCCTAAGGCAACGGGGAAACAATGAGCTTCCTGGGCAGAAAAGTGTCATGTTTATCCCTGTACTTTAGATATGTAATTTTGGCAACTGCATGGAAGACACATTAGATAGGAGAGAGTCTTGGAGCAGAAAGATCCATTAGGATGATGAAGGCCTGGATAGGATGGCTGTGTGATGAGCTGAGAGAAAGGGACTGATGAAAGAAACGTTGAACACATAACTTCAAGGCTGCAAACTTGAGTGAGTGGAAGAATAGCGCTTCTCTTGACAGAGAAAGGGAAGTTAAGAGGAAATGGGTTTAAAGAGAAAGAGAAGTTCTGCTTAAGACATGTTGAGCTTGAGATACTTATCCAGGTGGAGAGGTCAAGTAAGCCACTAGAGACAAGACAGGTGCTCTGAAGTGAGAAGGGAAATGGATTTGTAGATTTGGAAATCATCCACACAGAGATAACAGTTGAGAAACCATGGGAGCTAAAGAGATCACCAAGAGATTGGATATGAGGAAAGAAGAGAGGGTCCAGAACAAAGCCATGAGGCAGAACATGATTAAACTGCAAAAGAAAGAGAATGAATGTCTAGTAGAAAGAAAACTATGACTAATCAGTGTCATGAAAACCCAGGAAAAGAGAAAGAGAAGGGATGTTCAACAGCACTGAATACTGCAGGGAGGTCAAGAAAGATGAGGACTAGGGGCAGCTAGGTGGCGCAGTGAATAGAGCACCAGCCCTGGAGGCAGGAGGACCTGAGTTCAAGTCCAGCCTCAGACACTTGACACATACTAGCTGTGTGACTCTGGGCAAGTCACTTAACCCCACTCCTAACCCCCCCCCAAAAAAAGGAAAAAAGAAAAATGAGGACCTAGAAAATGCCATTGGATTTAACAGTAAAGTGATCACCGAAGACCTTGGAGACTGTAGTTTTAATTGTAGAGAGGAAAGTGAGACTTCAAGGATCTGAGAAATAAGTGGGAGGGAAGAAAGCAGAAGTATGGAGTATAGAAAGCTTTCTCTCAGAGTCTGGCTATGAAAGGAAAGAGAGAGATAGGAAGATAGCACAGGCACCAAGGTCAGGTGGAATAGACTGAAATGGATGCTGAACTTCACTACAAGGGTGAAAAAATGACCCGACAGTCCATCAATAACTAGGATCTGGGTGGTTATTTTGGACGAAGTGAATCTCAAAAGAGGAACAGTAGGTGAGTGAAGCTGGTTAAGGAAAAGGACATGTAAACGAGAAACAAAAAGCATCCTTCTCCCCCCTCCTACCCTACTATGTCAATGGGGATGAGAGAGAGTACAATCGGACAAGGGTGATCAGGAGTGTTGTGCCACTGAGGACAGGTTTCTCTGATGGCCAGGAGATAGAAGGGCTATGAGAAGAAAATCTAATCTCAAATGTAATTTGTTAAAAAGAGAAAGAAGGTTCTACAAGGCACAATGGATGGTGAAGGTAAAGTTGGAGAGGGACCTAGGAAAAATGTAAGAGAGTGTTGGCCAGGGATGGGAGATCTAAGGGTCTAGGCCAAGGGTGGGGAACCTGCAGCCTCACGGCCACAGGTGGTCCTCTAGGTCCTCAAGTGGGGCTCTTTGACTGAACTCAAACTTCACAGAACAAATCCCCTTAATAAAAGGATTTGTTCTGTAAAACTTGGACTCAGCCAAAAGGCAGTACCCAAGGACCCAGAAGGTCACATGTGGCCTTGAAGCTGCTGGTTCCCCACCCCTGGTCTAGGCATTCTTCTACCCAGAATTACAGGGATTGTGAAGAGAACAACAGAGCACAAGATTACTATGCCCTTTCCAGTAGTAATGGTAATGCTGAACTGATTACTATTCCCAAACCAAGACGTCTACTCTTCCTTCTCATAGCCAGACTCTGAGAGAAAGCTTTCTATATTCCATACTTCTGCTTTCTTCCCTCCCACTCATTTCTCAGCTCCTTGAAGTCTCACTTTCCTCTCTACAATTAAAACTACAGTCTCCAAGGGATAGTAGAGGTATTGAGGGAAGGGAGAGAAAGGTGGCCTGGGCCCTGCTGTACTGGTGAGACGAAGCTAGGTCTTGGCTGGTTAGATATGGAGAACTAACCTCCTCCAATCCAGAAGAGCTCTAATTTAGGTCAAATTCAAGGCTTCACAGATTAATTCACCCTGGGTGAGAAGGCACAGTCCAAAGGGCTCCTGTTGCTGGCATCCTATTCTCTCCCTACTGGGCATTACGTAGCCTACAACAGCATTAGCTTTTGGGTTTCCATGTCACAGTGTTGACTCACACTGAGCCTATGGTTCACTAAAATTCCCAGATCATTTTCACTGAAAATGCCATCTGGTCATGATTTCTCCAACAGGACAACTCAATAAGGCTGAATTTTTGAGCCCAAATGCAGATCTTCACATTGATCCCTATTAGATTTCACCTGATCCACTTCATCTTTACCAGTTTAGCCCCTCTATGTCATTTGGAACCCTATTAACTATCATTCAGTGGGTCAAGTTAGCTGTAACTACGTTTCATGTCACATTGCCCCCCAAAACCCTGGTCTGACTCAGCATGTTTTTACAAGGTATGGAACCAGGATTCAATAGAATCAGATGGGTTTGGGTGGGAGGTGGGTGTGGAGCAAGGCAGAGAGGCAGATAATACTCTTCAGCCTCCACTGGCCAATACAATGAGACAGCAACCTCATCATTTCTCCTCCAAACCATTTTCAAAGCAAGAGAGGACAAAAAGGGAATAGAAAGACAAAGATTATTTTCAGAAGTTTAAGAGGAAGCTCTGGGACTCCTCCCATTTTTATTTAGTGCCTCCCCCAATTTATTTAGTACTTCAACCCAAGCTCCAGTATTATGACCACTTTTTCTTCTTCTCAACCTTTCTCCACTAACCAACATAAAATTACTAGAATGTGTTGTCCCCTCCCCAACTAATTCCAAGATCAATGGAATGATCAAATGCAAGTTACCCCAAAGGAATGGGTTATACCTAGGCCTAATGTGTTCTGAATACATGAAACTGTTTTTGTTTTTTAAAGTCTGGACCCAGCTTACCTCCAAAGACAGCAAAGTTCGATGCCGGTTGGGGAGCAGCAAAAGGGTCTCCACCAATGTCAGCCAGAAGGTCAGTACTAGCTTTCTTGACCGGAGGGAGGGAGGGTGGTTGAGAGCACGGGTGCTGGGAGAGCCGAGTCTGAGGGACAGACTAGAGAGGAATGAATCATAATAATTATGGAGCCAACAATCCTAAAAAACCCCCAGGACTTCCTCTAACTTTGTTATTGTCCTAGCCCAGAGAGAAAGATGCGCTGGAAATCATGTGGTTTCTGTACTGAGAAAATTTCAGGGAGCAAGACAAGATGGTTTCCTTTATATTCCAGTTTCTAAACTCATAGGATGTTAGGCTAGGGCCTACATAGGAAAGGCAATGGCCTCAGTGAAACATTGTCAGCAAATAACACAGTATTCAATTCCAGCTGTGGCTATTATCAACCAGATTTCTACTTTTCCCAAGTTGCTGAAGAAGTTTCCCCAACCTAAAGGCTCTTCTATGGCTCCCTCCAAATGTAAAATCACTAAGTCTGCTCTGACTTTCCTCCACCCTACTTTCTGCTAGCTTATTCCTTTTTTTTTTTTTTAAACAAGGGTAAGATCCAGGGATATTTTTTTAGTAGACAGTGACACACAAGCAGAGTACATGGTAAAGGTTCTGCTCTGCTGCTTTGTCAGTCAATCTAGAGGATTCAAAGATTGAAACTAGATCTCTATCCTCTTACCCTCTATAAATTAAGCTTTTGTATCTGACACCTACCTGGCTAGTGCTGGAGATGGCAACAGAGGGCACAGGGTCCCCAAGAAGTGTCCTCAGGGGCTTTACATCTGGAGTGGAATCTTGGGTAGGGGTAGAGGTGCTGCTTTTGGTGTAGGATGGCCCCTTGACTTGGTCTGGGGGGACATACCTTCAAGGAACAAACAGTCTAAGTGGAACAAGGAGTAACAACTTATAGTATCCCCAGTTTATGTGCTCCTTCAACTCCTAGGAAAGTAGACATTACAGTATCTGAATCAAATCATGGTGTTTTCAGAGTTGGAAGAGAATTTAGATATTGTCTAGTCCAACCTCTCAACCAATGCAAGAGGTGTCAAACATTCGGCCTGCATGAGTGAAGCCCCAAGTGCGGCCTAAACCAGATTTAAATATAATTGGGAAATATTCAACAAGATAAATAAAAATACAATAGAACATAGATAATATTACACCTTAAAACCAAATCAATATGCAGTCTGCAGGGATCCTTAGGCAGAGATTAGTGGCCTCCCTTTTTATTTGAGTTTGATACCAATGACCTAGAACATTTCTGACAGGTGGTCATGCAGCTGCTACAGAAATGCTTTTTGTGACAAGGAACCTACATAAGGACAATAGCGATAATGAGCATCCTCTTCATCCTAACACTGGGTTCTAATCCAGTCCCTACCCCAAAACGAAACACCTCAATTCTGATAGAAACATGACCATATTCACCAATGTGGAAACTCCCCAACTTTTTCCTATAAGGGTTTCCTTTTACATCTCCCCTCTAATTCTTTCCCACAGGTAGGGTTTCTGTCATATCATCACTCCCAAGTTCCCGAACTGTGGATCTCTGTATTTGTCACTCTAGCTCATTCTTTCTACCTCTAATTATCCCCTTTTGCCTCTGTGCATATACTTTACTGTTAATAACATCTCCTAATCCAGAGCATTTCCCCAAGACTAGGGGTTCTTAACCTTTTTTTGTATCATGGCCCTTTTTGGCAGTGTGGCAAAGCCTATAATCCCCTTCTCAAAATAATGTTTATCACTTACACTCATAATTAAAGAAAAGGTTAACTTCAATTAGAGGTTAGTAAAAATAAAGATGTAAATTTCTCCCCCCATTCAAGTTCATGGACCCCTTGAAATTGATGTTTGGATCCCAGGTTAAGAAGCATTGTCCAGAAGGTACAGTCCTTTTGCAATGGAGAGCACATCTAAAATACTGTCCTATTCAAATTAATCTGCATTCTTCCACTTACCCTCCAGCTAGTAATCAAAACAGAAAAAAAAAATTGACCTTGGGGAGAAAACTGAGAACTGCTGTTACAACATGGCTTTCTTCTTTGAGAAAACAATAATTTGTCAGTATATCACCTAATGATTTACAAGGGGAGGGAGGAGGTAAATACCATTAAACTTAATACCATTAAGAAGGTATTAAGATAATGAAGGTTCAGACTTCACCTGATAAAATACCTGCCTCCAATTTCTCTCTCCCCACAAAAGATAGCAACTTGGTATGAATAAAAACACATTGTTGCCTATATGCTCCCACCATTCTAACTAATCCATTTGCTCTGTTAAACTTGAGGAACACCAATTGTATGTGACAAATGACTAAGGACAAAAAATATTGTCCTTCAACAAAGACTGGTTCTGTAGAATTATGACAGGACTGAGCTATGATTGAGTCTATAAAGATTTAACCAAAGCTTCCAGAGAAGCCCCAAATTCATACCTAGAAAGAAAGGAAGAATATACACCACACATAATCTATGTAACTGTTTCCTCCCTCCTCCATGATTACCATCGCTTCTTCTCATATTTCTCCTGAAGAAACTCCTTCACCTTTTGAGGGTCCCTGGAGTCTGGGACTAAGGAGGTCTGCGCATCAAAGAGACCCAGCCAGATCTTCCTGCAAACCTGTGGTACAAGAGGAGACACAGGTAACATAGGTGCTGGAGAAGACAGCTTAGAGTAAAAAACACACATACCCCCAACCAGAAGCTGAAAAATTTTCAGTATGAGCATTTATACCTTGGAAATTAGCAGATGCAGAGCCTGATTTATTGTTTTGTTGATTGTCTAGACTTAAGAGAGCATAGAGAAAATACTGATGATACAGATTAAACTTAAAAGTGTGTCATGCAGGCATTTTTTTCCCCAGAGAACTGTTGAACATTCATCAACATAATGATGCCTCTAATGGTCTTGAGAAGTGTGTGGTTTTTGGGCTGATCAGAGGCCCTTGTCTTCAAGATCCAAGTTCCTCATATTGGTCAGTGTAAGTGACACAAACACCACTAACAAGCATTCCACAAACCTCTGGGCTTAGTTGAGGAAGGAGGAAGAATTTACTTTGCAAAAGAAGTTGAATTCATTAAGAGTCTACTATGTATAGAGCACTGTCCTAGGCACAAGAGGAGACACAAAGTCTAGAAAGAAATATTTTAGCTTTTCCTGACAATGTACCTATGTCGTCTTGATTTTTTAATGTTTCAGTCTCTTTGGAACTATGCAACAGGTCTAATTCAGCAATCTTAAATCCAGAAGAAGATAAAGAAAAATATCCAGGAGAGTTTATCAGTTAGTATTTACTTACAGTGATTATCTGTCAATGTATTCAATCTAATAATTTTTTTAATAATCTTCTTATATTTTTTAAAAGAGGAATCGAATGTCAAAACGGTGACATTTCTCAACTGTGTCTTGAATAAAGAACCTATCCTTGGTTGGTTCAAGTTCCACAAAAAGAAACTCTACAAGAAATCTAGAAAACTCCCACTGGGGTGGATTTCAATGCTTTTATAGACAGTTTAGCCAGACCCATTACCCCATTTCCCAGTTTAATAGAGCTCTGATCTAATCACGGTATTGGGTACTTGTGAGTAATGGTCAGGTTTTAAGAACCTAGTCCATCAGGACCCAATGGTCAAAAAAGAAAAGCCCAGAAATCTTCAGTCTGGGGCATCTAGATTAGGTATATTTCCCTGTATAAAGGCAAAACTACTATCATTTCTAAAGGGGTCACCTAATCCAATCCTTTCATTTAATAGATGGGGAAACTGAGGCCAAGAGAAGTTGTCTTTTAGGTGCTAAGTGGAAAAGACAATTCTGATCAAACCAATTATGCTCAGGAACAAATGAATCTTTTTAATTCTGCAATTACAAAAGAAAGAGAAGGAATCTGAAATTTAGACACAGATACCTCTTCCCAAAGGGTAAGTTTCACAAAGAGGGTTTTATACCTTACACCAAAAGGGAACAAAATGTTATCAATTAAGACAATTTATGGACCATAGAGAGGCCAAGAAGAGGGCATCTTCAAAGGAAAGGAACATCAAACAAAGGACAGCTGTCTTTACTTCCTGAAACTATTTCACATTCTTGTTATCAGCAAGGTCTTGCAGAGTTAGGACAAAGAACCTCTCAAGCTTAAAAATAACATTTTGAATTCCTCCTGTTCAATTGAGAATTGGAGCTTTTTATGTCTTCATCAGTGACAGAGCTGACAGACAAGTCCTGGTCCTTGGACTCCAAGCCTGGTGGGCACTTTCCAATGTACCATATGCTTCCTCCTTGGAAAAACACTGATCCTCAGAATTCAGTGTTATGTATAATGAATTCATTTTCTTTTTTTATTATGAACTTGACAAAAATCAGACATGAACATTTCCATATATAAAAAACAGAAAAATGACTGTATATGACACTGAGTGTATTACTTACAGCTTGTTTTTTCTTTGAAAGTACATATTAAATTTAACCCAGCAGTCTCAGCACTATCCTACTTCTCTGAGTCCCCTTCTGAACTTTCTTCTGCTCTCTTCTGTTTTAAAATGTTTAACTGTCACTTTTTTTCCTTTCCTTTTCTTTTTTTCTGGGGGGGAGGGGCAATGAATTAACTTAAAATAAATGATTTGAATTAGCACTAGGCCCAAAAAAGTATAACCCACATCTCATGAAGATTTTTCCCCAATACTTAAAAACAGGCTTCCTTCTATATTCAGTCTACATGAAAACACTAAGCATTTGACAGTTTCTCTACAAAGGGACTCTGAGATTTATCTCCTTTCTCCCTAATGAAGGTCATGGACCAACTATAAACTATATCATCAATAATTTACTGAACATCTATGAACAAACAACAATTGTATCCTAAATCCAGTGAAAAAATAATAAGGGGTGAAGTATGGCCTTGCCTCAAAACCCCAAGAAAAACACCTATCAGTATCAAAACTTATTCAAATCAGGACACAGTCAAGATATAGGAGTGGCAGGAAGCAGTGTAGTGAATTCTCATCCACAAACTCCTCCAAATAGATCTAGAAAATACAGACTGAATATTGATGAAGAAATCCAGAAAAAGTCATAGTAAGACTTTTGTTCAGCACAGTTCAGCACAGAGATGCAAACAAGAAGGTCTTTGGACACTGGGGATGGATTCTGTCTAGAACTATGCAGCATGCAGGGTACTCCAGCAAGCAGAGAGAGGTTGTGCATCAGAACAGAAGGAGGTATCTGACCCAATCTGGACCACCTGCAGATCCATAACAGGTAAAAATGGGGACAGAGGTGAACTGGCAGTTTTGCTGCCTACCACCCATTTCTGGGTCATAGATACAGAGCATACCAAGAAAGGGACCTTTGTACAAGGATTGTATTTCCAGGAAGAGAGCCTCTGGGTACAGTGTATGGAGAAAGAAGGAAGTTCAGAAGCCAACAGCAGCAGTGTAGCTCAGAACCCAGACTCACATCAGCATCTCACTTCAGCCTACAGAGGAATAACCAAGGGCAGGAATCCCAGACCAAAGGGGAGCATACCCTTCTGTCACTCTAAACCAAAAGGGCTTTCTGGCTGACTGATAGGGGCTGAGTCCAACAGCAGTCTACTCTTGCACAGAACTAAAGAAGTCAGGGACCTGCAGAGCTCAGACCAAAGGAGGTAACAATCAGATGTTGCCCTGATCTGATCATTGTGGAAGCACTGAAAGCTTGCAGGTTCCCTACCTGTCCCTGAGATCCTGGAATAACACAACACAGAATACTTCAAGAAAGCATCAACAGGATTGGCCCAGAAGTGTTGCAGAGCTCAACCCTAACATTAAGTCCAAAGTCAAAAAGTAGGCTGGAAGAATTAGCAAACAAAAAAATGGCACACAAGTAAACATCTCTATAAACGAGAGGATGGGGGTGGAGAGAGAGCAACTGACATGGAACCAAACTCTTAACTGAAGTCTTCAAAAGAATACACACACACACAGTTGAGTCCAGAATTACAGTTCACTCAACAGGGAAATAGAAGGGAAAGAGGAGAATGTGAGGAGGGGATTAGAGGGAGGGAAGATTAAGAAAGGGAGTAGTCCTAAACAAAACAAAGTCTAAGGATGTCTTCTTTTTTTTTTTGGCTTTTTGGTAAGGCAATTAGGGTTAAGTGACTTGCCCAGGGTCACGAAGCTAGTAAGTGTCAAGTGTCTGAGGCCAAATTTGAACTCAGGTCTTACTGATTCCAAGGCCAGAGCTCTAAGCCAGAGCTCAACTACCTGCCCCTTAAGGATATCTTTTGCCTCTTTTTTGTATCCCCAGCACTTAGCACAGTGCCTAGCACATAGAAGGCATTTAATAAATAACTGATTGAGTAGATTACAAAAATATTAAAGCTTTTTTTGAGGTGTCACAGAATAGGAATCAGAAAGGGAGACCCAGAAATTGAGGAGTGAATGAACAAGATAGGGTATAAAAATGTGATGGAAAAGTACTGTGCTGAAATCTTATCCGTGTAAAAGGAGATCTTGGAATATAATATTCCAAATGGCAGAAGACTTACAATAAAAAATAATTTACCTTGTCAAAGATGAGAATAATCCTACAGTGAAAAAGATGGACCCTGAATGGAATAGAGGACTTAAAATCATTTCTGATGGAAAGACTAGAGCTGAGCAGAACTTTTAAAATACAGACACAAGAGTTCAAATAAACCTAAGAAAATAAATTTATTTCAGCAACAGGAATGAGCTGAATGTTTTCTAATAATTAAGCTGCTTGAGAAGAAGAGTACACAACACAGAAGAGGAGGTAAGAGAAGTGGGCACAGGATGAATCTCACTCTCATCTGAAAGGGACAAAGTGCTGAACACACACACACACGTGGGTTTGGTGTGAGAGTACAGGAAGAGATGAGCAGTTAAGGAGGAGGATAACGGCTCAGATTCTTATAATCTAGCCAACAGCTCACTAATGTTCAGACTCGTTAAGAGACTGCTCAGTATGAAGGATGTTCTAAAAAACCTTGTCTTTGGCTGAAAAAAGGCTTGGGTTGGATTCTTTTCGGCAAGACCCGCATGTCCTGATTTGGGGGTCCCAGCACCCCTAAAGTTCAACATTTTGGAGGCCTGTGTGGGGAAACTGCCTAATCCCAAGTTCTTTTCCAGCCAAGACTGGAAGGTATGTAAGCCTCCCCTCTCCTTTTCTTGCTCTGCAGTTGGAGTAGCTCTCTAAGCACCAAGTCTTCGAGGTGCTTTTTGGGAAGATAGTTACAAGGCTGTCTTGAACTCAGCCTGACCTCTCAGGCTCTCAGTTCACTGGTTTGGTTTGAGGCCACGGACCTGGGTACACCTTCCACAGCATACAGGACAAGGACAGAATCCCTATCTGGAAGCGTATGCCCAATTCTGTCAATTCTCTCAGCCCTAGGAAGTTGGGGAAAACTGCAGCTGCTTTTTGATTCCCAGAGGCTTACTTAATCCCCTCTATACTCCTGAATCCTCATTCATGGAGGTTACAGGGAAAAGTTAGAACAGCTAAAAACATCTTAGCAGATTCTGGAGGTTTTGAGATCGATCATTAAGGAGTTTTGAAACTCCTCCTCACGACCTTTTTTGTCTGTGCTTCCTTTAGAATTTCTTTTCTTCAGTGTATTTTTTAAAACAATTAAATGGTCCTTATTTTTTGGTATCACTATTGCTAGTCCTTCATTCACTCTTACCTTTCCCCCTCTCACTCCTCAATTAACTGAAACTGAAAGAAAGGTCACTCCTTTTTTCCACTCCCTTCCCTTGAGTCAAGAAGGTATCTGTTAACCCTTCTCATAGGAGAAGAGAGTTTCACCCTTTACTCCTCACCTTTGATTTCACCCTCACCTACCTGGGAAAGGAAGGTGGGGGGGAGGGGCAGCAGCTACAGCTTGGGCCCCTCTGGCAACTGCCTTGGGCCCTGGGGCAACCCTTGCCTGGAAGCATCACCCAGCTTCAATATGTCCTGCTTTAGGTAAAGAAGCTTGCCTCTGAACTTGGGCAAGCACGTTCTTTTAAAGTTGTAGTTTTAACTGTTAATGATGAGATGCTGATCCTCTGTGTAAAGTAATTTGGAAATGCATTTAACAAAACTGAAGTCACCTGACTGGTAATGGGTTTGTTTCAAGTTTCAAATTGGTAAACTTTTTGTATCAGTTATGTCAAGCAACTTTTCATAATTTGGCTATTGTTGGTTATTGTTTAATGTGTAAACTTGCCAAAAAGCTTGTTTGGGTTTTGTCTCGCTGAGAATTTGCAAGTATATACAAACAATCTTTAACGATTGGCTTTTCACACCAGGACAAACTTAAGTCTGAGATGTAAATCCTGGAAAAGTTTTTCCTAAACTATGATTAGTGAAACTTGCTGTGTGAGGTAAAAGCTCATAGGATTTTATTTTTAGTTGCCTGATGGATCATAATAATACATCAATAATCTATAATCCACCATCTGAGAGAAATGCCACAAGCTACTCAGACAGAATGTGATACTGGTGGGAAGTCAGAATCGGGAAAAGCTGAGAGGACAATTTTAGTTTCAGTCTAAGATGGGATCCTCCTGGCTCAGTTTCCCCATTATGTTCCTTTGAAAAGGAATGTTACCCACCTGGCTATTCCTGAGTCTGGCTATGAGGTGGATTTGTGTCTTCCAGGCTACAGGCCATTCACCTACAGTTGATAGAAAACAGAGGGTACCAGCCAATGTCCCTGAACCGTTCCCTAGATGCAGCCTGTGCTCAGTTCCAGTCAACCTCCTCTTTAGTACCCCTTCGAGGTAGGGACAGCTCTACGCCCTTTGCCAATAGGAAGCAGTTTCAGAAGCGGAGACCTTCACCCCTTACCCCAAAAGAATTTGGGTCCCACTTGTTTGAGGGGGGAATGATGAGGATGAGATTTAGACCCCAAAAAGGAAAAACCCTGGACTTTCCCACATGGTCAAATCTCAGGCTTTTGCCTCAGGCTATAATTCCATCAACTGGCCTTTCCCTGTGGCTATGCCCAATCTCTTGATTCTCTGTTACCCTTAATCTAGCCTAGCCCTCCATTGTCTTACCTCCCAATGGCTCCTGACCATTTCCCACTCTTAATCTTAGCTAGGCTCCATTCTCCCTAGGCCACGTGGTCCAGGTCCCAGGAGTTCTGTTCACCTCAGCTTACTAGCCACTCCTATTCAGATCTTCCTTAGACCCCTCCTCCAATCACCCAAACTATTTGGTCACTCCTAGATCCCTCCCACAGGTTTTCTGTATATAAGGTCCATCTTGTCTCCATTAAGGTGCTCAGATCCTTAAAATCTAGCCAATAGCTCACTAATGCTCAGACTCCTTAAAGAGTCTGGCCAATGTGATGGGTGTTCTAATAAACCTTGTCTTTGGCTGGAAAAAAAAAAAAGGAGGATAACACTAGAGAGGGATAATCACAGAACCAGGAGAACAATTTATACAATGACAACATTTTAAAGAAAAATAACTTTCAAAGACCTAAGGACTCTGATCAAATTAATGACTATCTCCAGAAGACCTATCATGAAGCATGTTACCCACCTTCCAACAGAGAAGTGATGGACCACAAGGTTCAGAGACATATATTTTTGGACATGGCCACTATGTGGATTTGTTTTGCTTGATTATGCTTATTTGTTACAAGGAGTTTTTTTCACCTTTCTTTCAGTTTCAGTTAATTGAGCAGTGAGAGGGGGAAAGGTAAGACTGAATGAAGGACTAGCAATAGTGATACCAAAAAATAAGGGCCATTTAATTGTTTTAAAAAATACACCGAAGAAAAGAAATTCTAAAGGAAGCACAGACAAGCAGGAAAGTCTTGAAAGTAATGTGCAAATTTTACTTTTTTTGAAGCAAGTAGTTTGAAATGGAGATTCACAGTTTCATATACAATCATCCTTTTGTATTGAGCTATGTATATGGAAATGCTCCCTTTTTTTTGGCATTTAAATTCAAAATAAAAAAATTTTTGTCCTTCCCCCAAAAATAGAAAAGAAAATTTTAACCAAAAGAAAAAAGATGTCATAACTTCAAAAATACAAAAACCCTTTATAATATGCTTCAGGCAAAGCCAAAGCCTTCTAATAAAATTTATCTGTGGCAACTCACCTCGTTTCCACGAGATTGGAGGAACATCACTTCAGGTTCAGTAAAGGTTGTCATGGAGATAGATTTGACTCGGTGAGGGGGATTCAGGCCTCTCCTGTGCGAGGAAAAGTAAGAGAGATATAATGTGATTAGCACTGCCAGGCTGCTTATAGGGAGAGGAGAAAGAAAAGGGTCAAAAAATTAATTATGGAAGGAAGAAAGAGAGGGAGGAAGACTTGGAAGAATGCTAGTGAAAGCCAGAGAGAGGTTTAGAAAAAGAATAGCCAAGAACATTTGAGGGTCTGTCACTCTGAAGAGAAAACAAAGAATCTGCTTATCCTTTTTTTCTACAGGCTGGCAGACCAACATCTCTAGTGCCCTACCTGTGAGCTATAGAACACTTCTGGGAATACGGACAACCAACTTCCATTTTTCTCAATTTGTCTGTATGGCACTTAAGCATCTGAAGACTAAAACCTGGAGGGTAAAAGCATATTCCAGTGGCATTATGGTCATGCTAAAAAGGTCCCAAATAGCTGATTTGGCAACAAACATGAAAACTTATTTTCTTTTTTCTGCCCTTCTCCAGTCTCTACTTTCCCAGTCCTCACAGCAGGCAGGTGGTCTTTCACCAGCCTTCTTCATTACTGGATCTTACTATGAAGCACTAGGGAACTTATTTTAATCCAGCAAGATCTAAAAGGCTTTATAGGCCTGTAGGAAGCTAGAACCATGCTTTTAGCTGAGATGGCTTATGTAACTGCTGTGTGCTGTTTACTCCCTGGGTGTTCAACTATAGTCAAAGTAGTCCTGTGGAGACCACATGGCCAACAGGATGGTATTTTCTTGAGGCCACGAAACCAGTTCTTTAGGGGGAGGTGCTCTAACAGGAAAGACACAGGAGTTCTCTCACACCCTCCTACCAGTCCTATCTTAAACCTGTTATTCTGATAACATATTAGAATAAAACTAGCCCATGGGGCAGAGAATGGGCCATTACTTTATTTGCTTCTTTCTAGTAAAAGAAAAATTTATTTTTTCTACTCTACCTCTAAAATATTTTAAAGCACAGAAGTGACTGAGAGAGACAAGGAATAAGTTAGAGAAACAATCTCAAATGACAGAATGTAAAATAAAAGAAAGGAAAAAGGTTTTAAATCCCCTAAAAACTTGGTCAAAAATTTGATACTAAAGAACAGATATAAAAATGCATGTGCCTCCCCTTTCTTACATAAGGAAAACTCAACATACTGTCAAGCTTGAGTTGATATTTAAATGAGAAAGATTTAGCTGCTATGATCAATACAATGATCCATGACAATTGCAAAGGACTTGGGATAAAAAATGCTATCCACATCCAGAGAATTGATAAACTTTGAGTGCAGATAGAAGCATATTGTTTTTTCACTTTATTTTTCTTGTTCCCTCCCCCCCCATATGGAAATGTTTTGCATGACTTCACATGTAGAATGAGTATCATATTACTTACCTTCTCAATGTGGGGGAGGGGCTTAAGGGAAGGAGAGAATTTAGAACTAAAAAAATTTTTTTAAAAACATATAAGAAATGCAAAAAAAAAAAAGACTGTATTGATGTGTTGGTTAGTTGGCTGAATTGCATTTTTCTTCCCTATGTTTTATTCTTTGTTATAACAAATGGCTGTCTAGGTGGGGGAGGGAGAACATATTGGGAAATAAAAGTGATATAATAGCAAAATACATAATAGAAAAAAAATAAGTAGGAAAAATCTGGCCAAATCAAGACTTTATACAAAGAAATTAACTATAGTAGGCCCTAGTTAATGTTTCTAGCAAGACAAAGGGAGGGGGGAGAAAAAAATGGACATTTATATACTTTTGTAAAGCATGTAAAATGAAATGCAGAGTCACAGTTTCATATAAAATCCTCTTGGATTTCCCTGAATCCAAGGGAATCCTGGGAAACTAGTTTCCTAAGTAGGAACCATAAAAATTTCACAAAGACAGGGAGGAGATAGGGACATATATACAAAAAGGAAAAAAGGTGTCATTGCCAAGTTTAGAAAAACAGCACTATTTAGGAATATAAGTGATGGCTCTGGGGGCAGGAGAACAGATGACACAAAACAGAGTGAACACTGAAGGGTCAGACAACTACTTTCTTTCCTGGGATTCTGCCCCAGTGGACAGGTGCTGATTATGAAGAACAGATCCATGGTAGCTAGTTAGGGTTACAGAAGTTCAGCTGTCGTATAGAAATAGCCAGAAACTTGTAGCTCAGACTTCTAAGAGAAAGTCTCAAACAATATGGGAAGGGCAGGAGTCAGCAGAGAAAATTGCTCCCCAAAAAGCACATAAAGAATACAGAGAAGCCAGGATTCTTTACTTTCACAATATTTGACCTGACCCAGATACTGAAGCATCCACAGATCACATTTCAGGAATGCTCTAGTTTCCTCTTCCTAAGTAGCTCCCAGGCTTTGCCCTTTCACGAGGTCTTGTTTCCCTCAAAAATGGAAAGAATGCTGGACTTGGGGATCAGGAGGAATCTGGGTTCAAATCCTGCCTCTGACACTTGCTGACAAGAAAGACACAGAATGGAACTAATAACATCTGTAGAATCTACCTCACCAGATTACTTGTGAACCTTAAACCTTAAAGTTGACATATGTCATTTATCATTATCATCATTTGTCATGATTTTCCCCTGTGATCAGAATGAAGCTCAACAGAAACATTCCAAAATTCAGCAGAGGTATTATCTTGACCTTATGGTCTAATCTGCTTTTATAACTTCATCCTTTTCCTCAGGGTCCCTTCCTTGTACCTTACTTTCACCATTCATTTAGCTGCTAACTGATAGCCTATTGCATATGAGGCTTTGTGCTAGGTGGAAGGAGAGATACACAAATGCATTAAGGCTCTCTAGGAGTTTACAAGAAGGAAGCCTTCAGAAGCCAATCTGAAACAATTAGTATGACACCATCCTCCAGTAGGCAGTGATAGCTTGTACAGAATATGATTCTAACTTGCCACGTGGGGGTGGGGGAGGAGGAGGAGGAGGACAGGAAGGGGAGGAAGGAAAAGAAATAGAAAGTAGAAAGGCATTTTGGGTTTTCCGGTTTCTTATCACTAACAAACACATCAAAAGGGGTTACTGGTATGGACAATATGGGGCTGTCAGAGTCTGGCAGAGCAAGGAAATGTATTTTCTTGCTTAGGGAAAATCCAGCAAAAAATATCAGAAGAACCATGAACCCATAGACAGGCATACATTGGGATTTTGGAGTGGCAGTGAAGATAAAGATGACAAAGTGAATAAAGAGAGTCTCAAGTATGTTAGTTTAAGTGAGTTTGATCAAACAAGATGTTCCTGTTATTTTGCCTTTGGTGTACATAAAACAGGAACACAATGTTAGAGAATATAAAGAACACAATACAAAATACATTATTCAGCTCCAAAAACAAGACCTAGTTAGAAAATCTGAATCCCAAGAGGTTTAGTTAGACAACCTAAATCAAGAGTTGTTTCTGAAGCCCTGTTTTCCCCACCTCCAGGAACTGTCACAGGTCTTCTCCCAAATGCACTCTCTCTTCCTCCTTGTTAAATCTTTCTTTTCCAGCTTAAGCTAAGGAGCCACCTTTCTTCCTCGAAGTCTTCTCTGACCCTCCCCAACAAACCTCTTCCTCCAAGACTGAACCTCTTGACTATCCTCCTCAAGTATTTACTCCCCCCTCACATTTTCCTGGAACATTTTGCCCAGATCTCTCCTTTGTCCCTCCCACATTCTATCTTGTATTATGTTTAATTGTGTATAGTCTTATCCATCCAAGTAAACTAATCTCCAGGAGAACAGGGATTTTGTTGTTTTTCATATCTGCAACCCCAGGATCTAACCATTGCCTTGTCCATTGAAGGCACTAGATAAATGTTTATTGAATTAAATTGGTTGGATAGATAACAGACTCAAAGAAAAGAGCTCCCTCGGATTAGAAAAGAGCAGATGCCCCAATTTTATGAAAAAGGGAAAAGAAAAGAATCTGTGAACCAGAGGCCACTGAACTTGACTTCAATTTCTGCTAAAATTCTAAAATAGACAGTTAGTGAATACCTAGCAAAGGAAGTGGTGATTACAAAGATCCAATGTGGCTTTATCAAAGACAAGTCATGCAAAACTAATGTAATTTCCTTTGTTGACAGTTAATTGTCAACTGACTGGTAAATGGGGGGAGTGCTATAAATAGTTTAACTAGATTTTAGCAAAAAATTAATAAAATATCATACTATTCTCGTGGAAAAGGTGCTTACTAGATGGCAAAAAAAATTAGGACTTGGAAGTAGCTGAACAGTTTGTCTCAAAGAGCAGTTGTTAACAAAAACTAGCATTTATATAGCACTTAACAGGTTTGCAAAACATTTTACAAATATTGTCATTTTATCTTCACAACAACCTTGGGAGGTAGTTAGTTGCTATTATCATTCCCATTTTACAGATGAGGAAATTGAAGCAAATAGTGGTTAAGTAACTTGTTCAGGGTTACACAGCTGAGGCTGGATTGGAACTCAAGGTCTTCCTGACTACTGCCCTATCCACTCTGCCACCTAGCTGTTAATGATTCAAAAGTAACTTGGCAGAAGGACATTTCTTGGCATTCTAGTAGACTGCTCCACCAGATCTGTGTTTGGCCCTTTGATGTTTATTAATTATACTTATATATCATTATATATTAATTATAATTAACATATTAATGATTTAAAGGCACAGATGACACGCTCATTAAATCTGAAGATGACACAATATTGGGGGAGGGAGTGGGGATAACTAGAGCTAAAACAATGATGATTAACTGAATAAGGATTCAAAGAGATCTTGATTGGCTAGAGTACTAGGCTGAATTTAGTGATAGGGACTGGACTTCATCAGTAAAGGTATAGGAAACTGCCACGTAAGGAAACTTCCTTTACCAGTTCAGTTCACCAACTTCTTTACAACTTATAGTCTTAGAGAGCTGTCTAGAATAATGAGAGGCTAAGTGACTTGCCCAGGGTCATGGCAGCAGTGTTGTCAAGAGGCAGAAATTGAACCCAAGTCTTCCTAGCTCAAAGAAACACTATCCACTAGGTGTGCAATATCCC